TCTCTCTCCCTCCCTCCCCCTCCTTCTCTCTCTCTCTCTCTGTTTGTCTTGCTCTCTTTCAATTTCTCTTTCTCTCTCTCTCAATTTCTCTTGCTCTCTTTCAATTTCTCTAAATCTTTATCAATTTCTCTTATTATCCTCCCACTCCTTCTCTCTGCAGTTTAAACAAACTTTTAAATTCAATTCACACCCTCACACACATCCTCTCACACACACACACACACACACACACGCACACACACGCACACACACGCACACTCACACACACACACACACACACACACACACACACACACAGAGTAAATGAGAATCAAAAGAACATATACATGAAAACAAGTGTACCCATAATATTGGTAGAATCAGCAACTATAAACAGTCTAACAGCAAATCTATAATTCTGGAACTATCTACACTCCTCAAAAACTTAAGGAATTTTCAGTAAAAGTTATATTCAACTCACATACATACATACATTCACATATGATGTACACACACACACAGACACACACACACAACTTACCAGCCTGTGTAGTGTCAACAATGAACTCATTGACCTCATTGGCCATGCCCTCTTCCAAGCCCTTGCCATAAACCTTGACCTTGCTGGCGTTGCCCAGCTCACTCTCGCCCACGGTGATGGTGAAGGGAGAGTTGGGGATGTGCTTGCCATTGCGGAAGACGTTCACAATATGAGGGCCGGTCTCGCGGGGAGTGAAAGTGATTCCTGGAGAAAGAAGCAACACATTCAGAAAATTTTGCTTGAGTTTTTATCATTATTTTCAGCATAGCTATGTAGCTATGGAATGGTGAGGAAAACCAATGTAACTTAACACAACTAACAGCAATAGAAAAAAAGAAAAAGAAGACAGCTGATGCATCTTCTCACAAAGACGAGACATATTATTTACCCAGAGCTAGGTGCCTTAGGCCCTGTATACAAAAAGAAACTTTCCACTTGTCGCACAGCTGCGGGTATTCAAATGAGGCAATTTTCACCCATATCTCTTCTTGTTTCACCACAAGTGATGTCATACTTTGCAGACAAACAAGGTGCACAATTTTTCTAGTGTGCAAGGGGGCCTACAGACAATGGAAAAATTCCCAAGACTTTTGACAATCACAAGATTTTATCTGAAAAGAACAATGACACAACATATACGTCGACAAATGTTTACGAAATTCAATGTTTTATCAAAGTGGAATCCCTAGAAAGACAAACTTTGACAAGCATAACACACCAAGATGTCCGTTAGCAAGACGCTTGAGGAAGCAGGGTTCCTCCCGACCTCCAGGGGAGACAATGGTGGCGGTCAAGCTCTCGATGTCCTGCTCTGTGACCTGCAGGGAGACCTCTGAGCTGCTGCCCACCATGATCTGGTTCTTGCGGCGGGGCTCACCAGCTGCAAAAAAAATAATAATAGATAGCATTTGTATAGCGCAAATCCCCACTCAACAGCAAGCTCTATGCACTTCACAACCTACACTATTACCCCAGCAGACCTGAGAGAATTCTGAAACAACCCCAACTTCCTGGGAAGCATACAGTGCAAGCAGCCATTTATAAGCGCTAAAACACTAATATACTGACAAGATCTTTCATTGTAGACATGAACTAAAAGATTGATGTAACTGTCAGAGAAGTGATATATAATTGAAAATGTTTTTTGGGGAAATGGATACACTACGATGCTTTGCACTCTTTAGGAAAGCCGTAAGTCATACTGTAAGAAAAAACAAAACAACTGAGAAGCTATCGGCTTAGTGTTTTTGTGGGAAGTTGACAACTGCAAAATATTTATTTGACAAATTCTTCAGCGTATTATTATTTTCTCCAAAACAATTTGCACTATCTGTGCCGCCATTGAATATGATTTAGAGCTGAGAGGTGTAATAAAAAATACTTCTTGCAAATTTTCTTGCCTCTCAGTATGGTCATGTATCCAAATAAAATATAATATAATCCCAAATCAGGCACCTGCATTCCTCATCCATACGCAATACCCAGTTCATAATGTATGCCAATATCATGTAGAAAAGAAGGGGAAAAAAACTCACGCGTGACTTTGGCAGTGAAGGGTGAGCCAGCGATGTGCTTGTCGGCAAACTTGACGGTGATCTGGTACTCTCCAGGAGCCGTGGGCATGTAGGACACGGTGCAGGTTCCATCTTCGTTGTCTTTGCACTGGATCTCAGTCTTGCTTGGGCCCTCAATAGCAAGGGACAAGCCACCTTGGAGGAAGAAAAGATCAAATGAGGGGTTGGTAATATGTTGTAATTGTAAACAGTAGCACCCATCGATAAAAGGCGGGGACATCATGGAAACAGCTAGAAAAGGATGCACAGGACAGGCTTCGCTGGAGAAATGTTGTTGATGGCCTATGCTCCATTGGGAGTTTAAAAAAGGGCAAGAGAAGAGAGAGAAAGCCCCCATCGATACAAAGTAGGTAATTCAGGCGGACACCTGCTTAGACCATGCCGGCCAGGGCTAACCCAATAGAGAAGAATACAGCAGGCAGACAGACATACTCAATAAAAATCTTCCCCTCATTGGAATTAAATTCACATTTTCAGCATGGGTGTTTGGCGGGTGGTCGGGTGTGGTTTGCTCCTTCTTTCCTATAAAATATCAATCTCTTTTTTTTATCTCCCCTCTTTCTATTTTGTGTTTGTTACTCTCTAGTAACAGCTCTAATCTTTGGCCTTTTATGACCTTATTGTGTTGCAAGTGCCGTAAAACTCTTACTAAAACTAAAACTTACATTTTCTGCAAGCAGCGAAGAAGAGCCTAATTGGTGCAATACAGACGCCAAGGAGATGTTTGAGCAACCTCAAGGTTTTTTTCCTTCAGTTAAAAGTAAGGAAGGAAGTCTAAAACCAATCAAAAACTTGATTGTTTCGAGGAATTAACAACAGCAATTCTCAGCGGCTTTTCAGGAAGGACAACTTAAGCCAACTTTTCAGTGACACACACTCATTTTCACTAGGTGCCCAACATATATATGATTAGTGATAGTGTTTGCACTCACCAGCTCCAGCATTCTTTGTGTTGATGGTGAACACAGCGTTCTCGTGCACCACGCCATGGCTCAGGCCAGGCCCGTAGGCTGTGACAAAGCCAGAGTCAATGGCCTCCACGTGGAACAAGAAGGGGCTTCCTGCGGACAGAAATAGAAGGATAAATAATACTGATAGTAACAACAACAATAATGGAAACAATGATACAATAATAATAATAAAATCAATAATAATTTTACATAGCATTATTACGTGCTAAATACATACGTTAGGATTGATCCCAGCTCATAATTTTAGACTCAGTCCCTTTTGACACAATGTGAGACATACAGGAGTAAGATCACAGAAATAATGCCCACCTCTGACAGGATGGGGAGAAAGAAAAGGCGCCCCTCCCCCCCTTACTAATACACAATTCA